TCCCCCCCCCCCCCCCCCCCCAACACACACACACCCCAAAACCCACAATAAAAAAATAAAAAAACAAGCTGCCCAATCCCCATATCCCATGGGAGAAACTGACCAGCTTGTTCCTACCTCTTGCAGTGGGAATGATGAGTGGGACCTGGGTAGACATTCCTACCAATACCCCATCACTTAAAAAAGCAATCCCCATGCACAGAAACATTTGCATCAACTCAGCAAATGGAGATTCCAGCAACTAGAGAGTTTACAATGTGGCTACCGGGGACACTACAACCACATTAAAATTGCAGAATGAAAATGGATTCAGAAAGCAAGAAGCATTTACAGTTTATAACTCGTCTAGTGTTGAGGTCTCAAGAAAGATCAACTTTCTTTCGTATTTGCCGGGCCAAATATATGCAAGATAGACTTGTCACAGATGATGTATCATCAATGAAATCCTTTTACCACTTGCATAATGGGATTTAAAACCAAGTCGTAGAATATCCAATGATTTTTTTGATACAACATCCTACCCGAGAGTGAATGCAGTCGAGACAAAGAATCCATTCTTTAACTTAATCTCCAAATTCCATGATGTAGAACTGTCAACGAAGAGCAATTTTGGAATCCCGAATGTACGAAGCTTAAGCATTAGTCATGAAGTTTAGAGTCATATTTCATGCTGTATTCTTATTCAGTTTATGTTACTAAGTTGCAGAATTGTTGTTCTCTATTTTTTACTTCATATTTTAGAGTCAAGAAAATTTTTGTCTTTCAACAATTGACAGATAATGATTGAGTCTATAGGAGGGGCTGAATTATATTACTGCACTTTTATTGGAGTCCTAAGTGTGATTAATGTCCTAATAAGAATGTCATAGTTCTCACAGTATTAGTGGAGTTCAACAGCCTATAAGCATTAATGCACTTTTAAGGGAAGACGAATTGAGTTTTGAAATTTGTGTAAAGCTTCTGAAACATCTATTTGATGTTTTATGCAGCCTTATCTCAGAGGATGATTCCTAGTAAATTCTACATGTCATTTCTAGATTCTCAGATGGCCAGCCTTAAACCGACAATAAGGATACTTCATTACGACTTGGGCTTCACGGAGTCGAATCATGGATAATGTCTCTGTGCACAAGGGGGTAAAGAATGTGTACTTTTGACACTCCCGAGACTCCCACAGTGGTCGGACCTGGCGATTTTGCACTGGACAGTCCTTTGCTTGTTCCTGGTTCTTCTCTTCTACTTCTTTTTTCTCTTTTTTTACACCATCAGTTCCCAAACAACCCTAACCTTTTCCCTATCCTTTTGCCATTTATTTCACATCAAAACCTTGAATAACACGTCGCTCAGTGGATTTCCTACCCCTTTTCCTCGAAATTCTACAACCAAAAACCTTGAAAATCAAGCCAATTTAACTTTTTCCATCCCACCCATAACATAGGCGCTATCCAAGGCCAAAGCTCACCACAAAATCAGTTGTTGGCGGCATAACCCTGATTTTCCCTAAGTGCTCCATCATGATTACATAAAATCTCAACTCAAGGCCAACTTAACTGGACTTGCCTGTCTCAATACATACTGGCAGACCCAGGGTTATTATGGGTGAGCACTAGGCGGGACAACTAGTTCAATGGCATAATATGAAAGATTTACAAAAGGGGAAAAAGTATAATATGCAACCTGCTTCCATAAATTTTCAAGGGGTCATCCATTCACCCTCTTTTTCCAAATTAAAAAGGATAAGTATACAAGTAAATAAAATTTAAGAAAAAGCCCCTTGTTTATTTTGGACAGTCCTTATGCTATGTACTATCGAAAAACAGTTAATGTAGTTTTTCTTTACTTTGTGCGCGCGTGCCCCCGGCGGCCGGGAGAGAGAGGGAGTGATCATTTGCCTGATCACCATGAAATAAATACTTACATCGAACTGTGCATCTAAATCAGCTTGACCTTCAATGATTTCAATAAGTTCTTGCACACGCTCTGGTGGAGCTTTCTCTCCAAATATCTTCAGACTTTTTAAGAAATCCATAAACATTTTAAATTCAGCCCCCGTCACATCTTGCAAACTCTGCAATAGCACTTAGTCAAACTTGAGTTCTCAGATAGAGCAACAATATCAAATGGAAAACTGATACTCTAGAAGCACTTCCATACTGGCAAAGAACAAACCAAATGTTATAGAAGTGATGCAGAATACAAGGTTAAGAAAGAAATATATAGATGGAACCAACATCAAAAACCAAAAAAGAAAAGAAAAGAAAAGAAAAAGAGGACAAGAAGAAGAAAAGGAAAAAAGCATACATACTTTTTTGACCAAATCAGTTATATGCCTTTCCATTTGCTCCTGAGGCTTCAAGAGCTCAGCTTTGAGAGGAAATACCTGCCGATAGGGTAACTTAGAACTCATTCAAAAGTTAGGAAAACATAGTAATAATTGACATGGCATCACACAGACACACAGGCTGGTCCTCCTACCTTATCTCTGATGAAGATCAGAGTCCTCTCACGAAGGTTTTCATCCGTGATCGGCTCATCAACACTCTCAATGTGCTTAAATAGGGCTGTCAATGAAGCTGCATAACCAAAGCCATCAATTAATCTTACTTCAAATAGAAAGTTACACAGCCAAAGTTAGTACCAAAATCAGTCCATCAAAAAACCAGAGAATATGCAAGACATGCCTAAACTTTCCTGACAAGTCTCATGCAATACAGTTTGTATGCATCATTTTTGAAGTATGTGGAAGTGATATATTCACAAAATCTCGGTGCATCAAGCTTAGCCCTGGGTATCACTACATTCTGTCTGGCCATAACAATGTAAAGCCAAAATGTCAGTGTTCTATCACTTCTTACCAGACCACAACATGAAAGATTCCCAACTACTTCTGACCCCCAAAAGGAGCAGTAAACTTTGAAGGAGAATTGAGCCCAAAATACTACTAGTTATCAAGTTCTGTTGTGATGTACAACAGTCATTCCCATCTTACATAACAAAATAAGCAAAAGCATAATGGAAACCAAAAATCACAAAAGCTGTGAATCATATCTCATACTTGTACGTATACAATGCAGTCTAATAATGTTCCAAGAGCTTTCACAAATTCTTCGCAGATTGGCAAACTAAAAAAATTTGTTTACTTTCAATTGAACTGCAAATCATTTCAGCAGAAGCCATGGAAAACAAGTTTTGAACCCCAACTAGCTCAGCTTAAGGCTAGTCAGGTTGAATTGATATGGATTGACAGCCCTGAACACACAGACGACAACATTTGCCCAATAATTTTTCACTGGACACACACACCAGTTCCAGGAGAACTAAATCCCGGTCAGCACCTCCCATTGGGTTTTTATTAATGTATGAGGCAATTGTTCATTATTAAACCCTCTGAAAAGTAAAACATTCATTCTTATACCATGACTATTTTACATCTCTAAGCCACATGTCCAGGAAAAGTTGAGTAATGGGTAGATTCGAAGTGAAACTTTCAAGTTTCAATTAATGATCCAGGCATTAAGGACTAATTAATCAGAACCATAACCAAAAAAATTAATCAGAAAATAAAAAAAAAGGTGTCTTCCCTATAAAACAATTTTGAATTAGCTTGGAATCTTAGGATATATAATGATTAATAATAAAGGACTATTATTAAGCAACAAAAGCTACATTGGGTGGCAATACCAAAAAAACAAAGACAAAATAGCATATGGCAGACTGAAGTTATGATTCTAGACCAAGCAAAATGGCTAAAGATTTCTAATTTGATAAACTATGTTGGGGTTCAACTCCTTCCACCATCTCATCAGTAACAACCCCAGCTCTCTCAGGTACTATATGTACTAGGATCTTAACTAACCAAAGAATATATAGAAATTCTCCACCGCCAAAGAAAGTCATAGATCTCCCTAATAATTTACGAATATTACCATAGACTTGATAGTGTCCTAGAAGTTTCATACACCGTGGTGGCCACTTCACCGACAAGATCCATATATCTATTAATCACCTCCTTAATGCCACATATTAAGTCAGGTGTACCGCAAGACGTGTTCAAAATTCTACTGGTCTCCTTGCATTTGCATGCAAACTTGCATGCCGATCAAATGCTGATTACCATGACAGCTTTTAGATTCATTAGCAATTTCTATGATATTTTAATTGCTATAACTTCATTACCCACCAAGTTTCAAAGAGCTGACAGAATTTAAAGAAATATTTTTTACTCAGCAGAGAACATGTTACACACAATAGAATAGCAATAAACAAGCAAGTCACTACAGTATTCATGTAATCAAGCTTCTCAGAAAACAATGAAGTTGCTTTTCTGCAAAAGCCCAGTTATGGACAGGATATGGGACTTCAGTAACTGAAAGAAATAGACATGATATGGACTTCAATAACTGAAAGAAATCTATTAGTCACCAGTTCATTTAACCCAAGACCTCTTAGATACTGCAAAAATGGATTCAACTTTAATCTATCACGACACCAACAGATTCATGCTTCAAGATAGTTTCAACTAATTTGACCATAAATGCCATTACCTTCCACATCCTGCCTTAGTAAGGACAAAAGGGCTTTATGCACTGCATCACGCTCCACATTTTCTTCTGAAAGCATCAAGAATCCCAAGATCAACTTTGTATCACAATATCCATACATGTCCTTCACCAGTGGAATTTAAATTTAAACACTTATTTACCAGCTGTAAGGAGTTGTGCAAGAATGTCTACAATTTTTGAAAGATGCTCAGGTGTATCCTTGCAAAATAGAGGAAGTCCACGGATCGCTTGCACCCGAATCTGAAATTTGTAGATAAAAAAAGAAAAGTTCAACAGCAAATTGATACATATGTTTTACAAGATTTCTCATCTGTTAAACAGATCTGCTAGAATCATGGAGCCTTGAAACCCCTAAAGCAACACAACATACAGCAGATCATACAGTATACCCATAATCTAAAGGCTTATACATGCAAATTAGTCAGAACTAGTGAATAACCAATAAAATAACCCGCATGATCTGTAATTGCTCAATGGAGACTAGTCAATGCAATGACAACAATAACCCTCATAACATTCTTGATATTTCACTATTGCAGGCTGCTAGAAAATTGGACTAAGTTGTGACTGGTTTTATGATCATTCTTAAGTCTCAATGAGCTGGTGCTCCGACATCATTCTCATCGTCTAATTGTTTAGGACCTCTACATTTTGTACATTGAGTATCCCCTTCTTTAGTTGTGTACCAAATTCTTACTACAATATGGATATGCATAGATGTAACCCTCAACTTGTATGCCCCCCTTACTTAGAAAGGTTTTGAAATATTGGTAAAAACATGCTGAAACACATCCAAACATTCTGAAACATTGGAATATCAATTCAATATTTGTTTCGGTCTCCATACAAATGAAAACCTTTTGAAAGTTTTGATCCTTGCATGTGGATAGCAATTTTTCAAGACAATAAGGATAAGCGTGGGCGCGCGGGCGTGTGAATAAATTAGAGTGGAAAATTTGAGAAACACATGTACAGAGACTAACCCCAAGCTCTTCAGCTTCGCACAAATCGAGATGAGCATCGACTGCATTCACAGAAAGACCTGGAAAAAACTTGAAGAATCTGGGAATGAGCTGCGCAGCTAATTGCCTAGCTTTAATGCTCGTGCTTGTCGACGCCTTAATTATATTCTCATAATCCTCAACATGCTGTAACCAAAGAAAATGAATTCAAATTATCAAAAAAACACATTAACACGCACACAATTACACACCTTAAAGAAGAAAAATAAGAAGACATCTGAAACTAATTTGAATAAGATCATCAAAAACCCTAGAATTGTGAAAACCTGGCCCTTGTCTTTGGCTTCGTTGAGCTTTTCGCCGTACTCGTAGAGCTTCTCGATGTCTTTGGCTTCGTCTGCCATCACTAAATTTGAAGCTTCAAACAATACAAAGACTCATCGGTTTGAATCCTTTGTATGTGTGTGTGTGTGTGCGCGCGCGCGAGCGAGAGAGAGAGAGGCTTGACCGCTTAAGTGCTTAAAGCTGGTTTAACAAGAGAGGCTCAACCACTCACGCCTTGTTAACACTTTTCAGGAAGAAAGACGATGTATAATAATCAAAGACGGATGATATCGTAGTTTGATTTGTTTGTTTTTTCTGGGCCCTTTCTATCTGTTTTGAGCCTGATATGGACTGGGTGGGGCTAGAGGTTGTCATGTCACTCGTAGATAGGACCGTTGAGGGAAAGAAAAATTTTCCCCATAGTAAAGATCCATTTGTAACAATGTTCTGATAAACCATATTAGATCATCAATGGAGACTTATAAATTTACTTAAATTTAAGTATAAAAAAAAAGAGGTAAAAAATTTGATTTAGATTTTTTTAAAGGAAATACTCAAATTTAAAGGAAAGACAAATTCAAATTTAAAAGATGATTAAATATAATCAGTAAATCTTTAAAAATGATAAAATTTTACTATTAAATATATAGGTATATATTTGAGTAAAAAAAAAAAGAATTTTCATTGATTTGATATGGGTATGGATCTAGCACCGAAGAAAATTTTTAAGAATTTTTTATTCAAATTTAAATTTGGGTTTAAAAAATTGTGAGGATTGGAAATGTTCTTAGTCTTTCAATTTTGATTTCAGTTGTCTCAATTTAATTTCTCTATTAATGTAAAATTAATAGTTAAAGAGATTAATAATAATTGAAGAACTAAATTAAAACAAGTGAAAATGTTTGAGTACAATAAGGCCATAGGAATTTTGTTGTGAAGCAGTGAAATATATAAAAATCGGAAAAAAATACTAATGACAAAAGTATTTGATTGATCGACATTGACACCGAGAGCAGAGGGCCGAGAAGCGAATGAGGTTAGATACCTCAATGGTTCTAAGTTATATCCACGTAAATGATGGCAATAAAACTTAAAATATTAATTTTGATATTTACCCCTTTTTTTTCCTCATTTTATTATGGGGAGACATGAGATTTTGTTGGCATTGAACCTCACCCAACGGATGGCCCAGCCACGTGGCCCAAGGGTACAAACTTTTACTGTTCTACATCTTGGCCCGTGCAGTAGGGTTTCGGGTCCATATTGTTGGTCGGTTAACTTAAAACGGGCTAATACAATTAAAGCCCACTGAATGTGACATTTCCTCTGGCCTAACTCAATGTCCTAAAATTCTAGTTTTTTTAAGAATTTTTTTGGAGGTTGGTACTTAGGTCAGATTTCAAAAAAAATCTATTCACTAATTTTTTTTTTTTTTTAAATTAGGTTCCTATTAAAAAATCAAAGTAATAGACATAACTAACGCCCTTTAAAAATTATAAAAATAATGATAATGTAATCATCTAATTGAAACACATATTCTAAAAAATTACATCATCATAATGTACATTTTTCTCCATAAATACAGATCATTAGATACGTACACTAAAACACAAATCGTTAATGTACGTTATTCTCCATAAACACAGATCGTCAAACAGATACACTAAAATATAAATCGTCAAACGTCATCATAAGGTCCAAATAACTTGGTTCACGAGTTTGAATTTTAAAACTGATAAACAACACCGCAAAAACCTTAATAACCAAAAAAAAAAAAAATTTATATTTTAGGTTAAAATTATGTGATGAGGGCAAAATGGATAATAAAAATCAGTAACTAACCAATCCCTTGACATTTGCGCCACACACAGGGATCGTATTCAAGTTTTTTTAAAAATCGGAGGCCCTTTTTCTATACTAAAAACTCAATAGTACTAAAATTAGTTTACACACCAAATAAGAGATCCAATCATAATTTTGTATTTTTTCCCCTCATTTTATTATGCGGAGACATGAGATTTGTTGGCATTGAGCCTCAAACCACGGATTGGCCCAGCCCTGTGGCCCAATAGCCCTAAGCCTTTTACTGTTCTACATATTGGCCCGTGGGGTAGGGTTTCGGGTTCATATTGTTGGTCGGTTAAGCCGAAACGGGCTAATCCAATTAAAGCCCACTGAATTTGACATTAGCCTGTGGCCCAACTCAATGTCCTAAAATTCTAGTTTTTTGAATTAATATGAAAATGGAATCAAATGGTGTAAATATAGCTAAAACAAACCTTAAATTTTGGGCAAATAGGGTAAATTTTTTAATGATTCTAATTTATTTATCTAAATACTTGAATTTCTTTTAATTTCATTTTTTTTTCTTTCTTCACATCTTGTTCAATATTTTCAGTATCTCCGTGTAACTTTTTTTACATATTTATAAAAAAAATAATAATATATTTATGCTTTTGGAACAAAATTGAGAAGTTCAGACCTAGATTTTCTTTAATATTAATTTTTTAGTACGTCAATGGTCGATTATGCATAATTATAAATAATAACGTTTATAATGACTCATCAACTCGATAAAAACTGACCATGAAAAATTTATTTATCATGAATATAATAAGGAAACAGTGCAGCCACTAAAAGAAGCTGATCTCTCTGGATACAGTCATATATGCACTGCTATAAACACCTAAAATTTATCTCTGGATACAGCCAAATCCAACTATACAAGGCAATCATGATTGCCAACGGCTATTTTGCCTAATTGTTTACATCCTACAATTACTCTCATTCGATGTAAAGAAATATTCACCGTGTAATATTGTCTATATAAGATAATCAAACAAATGCTAATCTCAATTAAGAGAGAGAGCAATTCATCTATTGCACGTGTGTGATTGTTTATATGCCCTAATCTCAATGTAAATGACATATCTTTGACTGAACCAAACATAGAAGTAATCGAGATGCACATAAGTTATCCTAGACACCCTAACCCGTTTGAACAAAAAATAAATTGACAAAAACTCGACACAATGCTATCATATGTGAGTTTAAAACAAATGATTCAAGTTGATTCATTAGACCCGTTTATACATGACACGAAAGAATCCAAATATACACAAAACGACTCTAACATGACATAATAGTTTATACAAAAATAACAATTTTTAAGACTTTTTTAGTACCTTATTGAAAACCTATTTTTAGTATAACAAGTCTTTCGTTTTAAAAAAAAAAAAGAGTCCCATTCAGACATTTTTGGCTGAATAAATTTTAGATATGACACGAATCTGATATAATTTCGGTTATCATCAACCAAGGGAGCATGCATGTGTGGCAAACACATGAGCTCAACTACCTTTGCTGCATCTTCTTGTTCAATTTAAGTTTCACCTTGTACTGCCTGGCTCTTGTAATGTCCCTTATTTGGGCCCTAAAGTTGCTACCCCAGAGGTCAAGCCAATATCATCACAATGAATGTCTCAAACCTAAATGGATTCAATTGTTTGATCTGTCCAATTGTCACATACTAAGAATAAATTCTACAACCATACAAGTGTCTCGAGAATTTATACGCCGAAATTCTTGAACATTAGGATTTTAAAAAAAAAAAAAAAAAATGCATTCCGATGTCTTCAGCAGGGGAAGTTGCAGCAAGGGCAGTTGCATCGGTATAATAATCGACGGTTTATTATAAGCATTGTCTAATACGGCATGCGCCAAGTATTCGATGTTTCAAAAGAGAAAAAAAAACAGAAGCATTGCCCATCAAGGATCTGTAATGGTACCATAAGAAAGACAATCTTAGCCTTTTATTTCAAACTCAGAGCAGAGTAGTACTACAAAATACCAGGAAGTTGATTATTTGTGATTCAACGAAGAGAGAATTAATCGAGATGCACGTAAGTTGGTACGAACACATAACCGTTGAAAAAAAAAAATAAGGGCTTGTTTGCATAGTGTTTCAAAAACTATTTTTTGTTCTCAAAATACTAAAAATAAGGCAAAACTTGTTTGGCTAAAATTTTCATTCTCCAAAATTTCAAAGAAAGTGGAAAATGAGATTTAATTTTAGAAAAAAAAAGTAGACTTATTTTGGGGTGTCTTGAAGACAAAAGATGGGAAAATGGGAAACACGAGAAACAAAACACTCATTAATGAGATCTCTCATTCAAACCTCCTTAGCAGTAAAATATAAAATACTATAAAAAAATTTTTTTTTCCTTTTTTGCCTTTCTTTCTCCCTCACTTTCTTTATCTCCACTTTGGCCCTCAACAGAAAGAACACACACAAATAGGGGCTTCAGATCGGTGTTTGATTTGGTTTAATTGACGAGATCAACCAGTTTTCAATCAGCAAGATCAACCAATCTTCAAATCTGATTTTTTTGGTTCAAATCTGATCTAGTTCAAGGGACTTCAGATTTGATCTAATCTGTTCAATCTGCGAGAACAACCGACATCGATCAGCGAGAACAACTCTCCCTTCGAATGACTTCTTTAGATTTGGTTTAAGGGGCTAATTGCGTTATTTGTTTGTTTTTTTTTAAAAAAAATTATTAGTATTTTGTATATCTTTTCTATTGAATCTGTTTGGTTTTATTTCAAATGAAGGCCATTGATATATTTTTTTATATTGATTCTATTTTTGATGAAGACCATTGAATCTGTTTGGTTAATTTTAAAGTTTGATTTATTAAATTTTTGTATGAAAATGTCAATCTAAATAATATATATATATCTCAAGAGAGAGATTTTAGAATCATCTGACCAAACAAGTTTTTTATCTTAGAAACAATCAAAATACGTTTTTCTAAAATTTTTCTCAAAAATAATTTTTAAATAATATTTTTTAAGATACAAACCAAACAGGCCATAAAATTCTAAGTTTTTATGTTTTTTTTTAAATTTTAGAATAAGCTAAAGATCATATGTTGATCTCAATGATTGAAGACAACTTTACTCCTGAGATTGGAATGAGGTCCATAACCCACATGGGATGGGACATGTACAATAAACCCATGGTTGGAGCTTGCTCCCCTTTGGGACATCATGATCCAGTGAGCTAATCAATGCTCTT